GTTTTTAGGGTCTCTTTTCGTACATTCCATTATTATAAAACTGTTTTCCACGTGATGAATCACTTTAAAGTATCTTCTATACAACAATATACACACAACAGAAATTAAATGATGAGATGAAAATGTGTTATAACGGCGCTTAGAAAGAACAACAATAAAATGGACCGACAATATTATTGACTATTTGCAAATAGTAACTATGGAGACGAGGTAATAAGATAAAAATCAAGTCGAGAACAAAAACAAAATTTTATAAACGATCACCGAGCATTGGCTATTATATTATTTCCCTTTCAATGTTCCCATCTTCATTAAAAGGTGTAAGATGACAAAAACAAGAACTTGAAGAATCTATCTATATACTACTAAAACTCTGAGATTGTTTGTTTTCTTATCTTCTCAGTCAAAAAATCATTCACACTGCTGTTCGCGCTCTTTACGAAACTTAATCGGGCCACGGGTTACCGAGTTAGCGCTGTATTTCGGGTCACTTTTTTGAAAATTTCTAGCATGAGTAATTTTACATCACACTACCGTTTGCGCTATTTACGAAACTTCTTCGTTCACATCTATTTCCCTGTCAATGTTCCCATCTTCATTAAAAGGTGTAAGATGACAAAAACAAGATCTTGAAGAATTTCTCAATAATGTGCCTTGGTTATGGTAGGTAAGGAAATGAGAAAATTTTCTCAGTCAAATTCTACATACCCTCTGAATAGTGGGTGACCCAACGGGTCACGGACTGTCTAGTATTTACTAAAAGCTTTCAAAATTTCTCGAAGATGCACTTACTATGTTAAAAGTTATAGTATGGTTTTTTTGTGGTTATTAGGTCGGTGAATTCCATTATCTTCGTATGGAAAGAGTTAAACACATTAAAAAATATACAGTAAAAGCATCACAAAATACATATGCTTTGTTCTTGATTTTTTATTTGAAATAAAGACTATTTTACTGTGCTGTACATTGTTTTCAACCTCTTTCTTTGCTTCAAACTCAGTCAAAAATAAGTAAATTTAGAATAACTCTGGAAAAGATATTTTAACGAACCTCCATTTATCCATCTAATTACCCTAAGAGAAGGCGGGTGATCTGAGAATACTACATAGTAGATAGGAAGGAGAATATTTGGTGCCATGACCAAATAATTCGTTTTTGTGGAGCATCTGTTTTCTTTGAATGAGTATATTTACCTGTGCTCTTTTGAACTCTTGCATTGTTCAGTTGAAGCTTCACAATTGAAGAAATGTAATTTTTCTCTGGTCAAAGGACTTATTATTACAAGGAATGTCATGCACTGGGGTGCATGGCTGTCTAGTCTAAGAGAAGTCCTCTCCTATACCTCAGACTCTTATAGATGCTATGAATGCCCATGATGTCATTTTCTTATTGTAGCTGTAGACCTGGGAAAGAGAAATGCCATTATCTGTTGCACTTAGATGGATAATAAATTATCTTCCTCAACCCATGGGAGACATGTACAACTGAAGATCATTGTAGTGCTGCAAATCTCATGAATCCATAACCGGATGGGCTAGTCTCTACAGGACTCCCAAGTATTTCTGACTAAAGTAGTCCAATCCAGCACTAGTTGATATGACTTGGTGATGAGAGACTGGAAGCACCAGTGTGTGAGACGCTGAACACATACTGGCGAAAAAGGTGGTCTCTGATGCAGTGGTAAGCCTCTACATAGCAGGAAATACACTACCAGGGTGATCACAGGTTACATGCAAAACCAATGGGTGAGTTATCTCCAGTAAGTCACTGTTCTGTGACTCAAGGGCAGGGACCTAGCAATCTAGCACTGTTGTGAGTATATGGGTCCCTGTATTAGACAACTCTGCTGCATTCTGAGGTTTAGGATGTGTTGGCCAATAGTATACGAGCGAGAGGTTTATGCCAAAGCCACAGATTGCTGTGACAGAGGCAAAGTAAATCACCCTCTTTGACATTTACGGACATAAAAAAATGACGTTGACCATTTCTTGGGACATTTCAGACAGGCCAGTGCCTGGAATGGCTAGATTTGAGAAAAGATGATGCAACACTTGAGTCTGAGTTTGGACAGTCAATGCCATTGGGAACGTAAACAAAGTACAGCTATAGTACTATATTACAGCTATTACAGTAACTCACATTGATACCCTCCCATTTCCACAAATGAATGAATGCCTGGATGCATTGGGAGGTATCTCATGGTTAAATACTTTAGGCATGGCACCCAGATACTAGCAAGTGGATCTGAATGACGAGAGCTAAACCAAAACTGCTTGTAAGTGCTTGAACTTACTGCTGATCCATTGGGGACGTAGTGAAATTACAAAAGAAAAACTTCTGGAATAATTTGTTTTCAGTTGTAATGTGTGCAGAAATGAATAGTGTTTGTTCATTTATTATTCTTGTTGTTGTTGTTAAGATCATTTATTAAAATGAAGATTTCAGCCGAAATGTAAAGTACTTTAAAGTTTTTAGCTATTACTACTGGTAGACGAAATATGAAATCTGTAAGATCTCCTTTTAACCTAGGCCCGGCATGGCCAGGTGGTCACACCAAACATGCTCGCCCTTTCAGCCGTGGGGGCATTATAATGTGGCGGTCAATCCCACTATTCGTTGGTAAAATAGTACCCCAAGAGTTGGTGGTGAGTGGTGATGACTAACTGCCTTTCCTCTAGTCTCACACTGCTAAATTAGGGACGGCTAGCGCAGATAGCCCTCGTGTAGCTTTGCGCGAAATTCGAAAAACAAACAAACAAACCTTTTAACCTGCCCTCCAGTGGCACAGCGGCATGTCTGCAGAGTTACAGCTCTATAAACCCGTGGTGAGCAGAGCACAAATAACCTGTTGTGTAGCTTTGTGCATAAATTCAAGCAAACAAACCTTTTAACCAGCATAGGTTTCAGTCACAGTAATCCCATCTTAACTATTTTGAAATCCTTAATTGTGTCACCTGTAAGTTTTCTATGCTACACCGAACGAGCAACAAAAATCAGCAAGTATTTAATTTTTTTATTTTCAAAGCTGAAATTATTTAAAACATTTATATTTGTTTCTCCGTTTTGGACAGAGCGCAGATAGCCTATTACGTAGCTTTGTGCTGAAAGAAACAAATTAGTCATAGCTAATTTTTCGTAGAGGCTTAATATAGGCCTTAATATTTTTCTTCACCAGAGAGCAGAGTGTTATTTTAAATTAACGGTCACAGAAAGTGGTTGTATGGCCTGTGCTGTGTGAAATTATTAACTTTTGAGTTCAGTATAAAGCATTTATAATTTTTCCAATAAATTTACTATTTACTTAATACGGTTTTAAAATTCAAGAAGAATCTTTAAAAAATGTGATTATTATTTACGACCTAATTTAGTATTTTTGTAGTGTGTAGGGCTTAGGCTCTTTGTTTTTTGTTTTAATTTTGAATTTCGGCTTCGTTTAACTCGTGTCTGTGTTACTATTAGGTCTAGGGTATATTACAGATTGTTAGTGTTACTAAAATATATGTGAAATAGACAAGTACTTATGGAATATAAGACTATGATACTGAGTGTTGAAAAAAAAGGCTAAATATTAAGAACTAAAGGTTACAATTTATTACAACACTCCGCTATGCCTTATAATATCACGTATTACGACATGCTCTAACGTTTGGCCTAGTACTAATAGTAATAGGCCCAACTTTACATCTTACAAACGATAACTTGTAAAGTCGGGAACTTAGCAGGTGACATCTGAGCGGTAACCTATAATCTGTAGTGACACAGTAGTAGTTAGCGTAACTAATACTAATCATTAATGTCGCATTAGTGATTCATCAAATTTTTACTGTTACCAGATGTCCAGAATAAAAAAACTTGTGCGTATGTTTTCTATACAGAATGAAACTGTGACACTTAATACAACATTTTCAAATTCTAATATCTGATGTTTATTGCAGTGTTTTCCAAAACCACACGTTAAAAGCTTATATAGTTGAAATATAATAACTAAAAAAACGTTCCCAATTTGTTTTGACCCAACTCAAAATAAAAATATTGTCTTTTTTTTTTTTTTTGAGGCTGGGCAGATCTTCACATCTCAGTTCCTAAGGCTGCCCAATGACAGGTTAAGAAAACATAGCAGAGAAAAAGAGGGAACATTGTAAAGTATTGTGTCTTTCTCAGGTGATTCTACAAGTAAAGTTTAAAGGAGTCGTATATAATGACAAACTACATATTAAACACACAATGAGCTACAAAAAAACATAGTTTAAAATTTTTAATGCTTCTTATTGAGGCTGAAAACTGGGACATCTAGTAACCCTACATGTATCATCCTGTTACAGCATCAGTAAAGTTTAATTGTCATTGTCAGACAAATAGAAATTTATAATTTCATGATAGTACTCTAGTGGTATTGTGATACTGAAAATAATTCAGAATTATATCAATGTATTATTTATTTAACATTGCAAAACATAATTTAGAATGAATGGAAAAACCAAGTCATACTTCACCATTGCGTATGGTATAAAAGTTAAGCCTCAAGAATTTAACCTTTCTTAGTAAATGATTAAATATAAATTAAAATTACAAATCCATATAATTATCCAACAGCTCTGACACTATAACTTTTATAAGCATGCAGAAATAAATTATGCCAAAGACTAAGTCTGGATCTAGTTTCCAGTTATAAAGTATAGTCACCTTTACTAATCTTAACAGTTAAGAAATCAAAATTACTTTCAATAGCTGTATGTCTATGCTATTCTAAATAAAAAACAGCAAGTACTTAGATTATTTTCTTTTCAAAGCTGAAATTACTTAAACCATTTATATTAATCTGGAAACTTCTCTGGATGTTTGACAGCAGATTATCTTTACATAAAATTATTGAACAAAAAACTTCACTCAACTATCCTTAGAAAGATAGTGTTATCAGCTAAGTTAGCTAGCTTAATTTCAGTATCATTTAAGTAAGTATAAATGAAATGTCTTTTTATATGTTTCTGACAAACACTACATTAACAGACCAGAACAAACATATAAATTATTAGTAATGAATCCTGTTTGTTATAGTTGACTAGAAGTACTAATTGCCTCATTGAAACAGGCAAGAAAACTGAAACCTATCACTCAGCTATCATTATTGCTGTTAAGTAGTGAGCTCCTGGATACCTACCTCCTATCACTGAGTTGTAAGTTTGAGGGCTCATAATGCTAAACACCAGGTTTCAGTACCTGCACTTACCAGAACATAGCCTAATGTGTAGCACTGTGCTTAACAACAAACAACCCAGGGTAACTTTAGGTAGGATAAAATATAAATAAAGAAATTGAAGTTAATTCTTATTATTATTCGTATTAAAACAAAGCATTTTTTGAAATTAATGTTATGGGAAACTTAAAAAGTAATAGATTTGTTGCAAGTAAACACCATGTCAGACTAAGTCTGATGTAAGAAGCAAACCTAGATAGGGACTGTTGCTGAAAACAATGTAGTTGTAAAACAATTAAGAATAGAAATGTAATACATCATGATTTTGTAACATTATAAAAGGAATTCAGGAGTACAACAAATGTGATCATAAATTAAAATTAGTTAAAAGAGAATTAAAAGGATTGGGATATTTAAAATTAAGCGTGTGTTCCAAATAATGTTTTATTTTTATATTGTGTTGTAATATAGGTGCATGTCAGTATTCAGCTCTTGCTCTAGTAATGTTTAAGTATTTCTCTTTTTTTTCTTTCAGTGCTACCATAAGGTACAAGTTTTCCTTGTAAAAATGCCTAACCTCATTGTGGATGGAATTAACATATCAGAATTAACAGACCAGCAGTTGTTTATGTCACTCAGAAATGCTGGAGTAGATGTAGGGCCAATTACTGGTGAGTTTCCTATATACAACAGAAGGAATGTTAAACAAGGTTAAATAATCATTAAATATTCATAACATGTTTCATATTACATTCACACATGTAGCTTTACATAATGTTGCACATGATCTAAGCACTAGCAGAAGATAATTTTGTATCAGTCAAATTTTACAGCAAACATTCATAGAAGTTACAATATTGTATAAAAAAAAATTTATGAAACAACACATAGTGCTGTATTTCTTCAAAAATACTTTTGTGAATAAAGATAAGGTAAATATAACCAAGCAAAAGTAGGAATTATCTTTATATCAGTGTTGACCTGATAGCTTGAGCCATATTCATGCAATATATATATATATGTATGGTATATACCACCAGTATTTTTTTAAGGCTGTGTGGAACATACTTTCATTCCCAGATCCCGAGACAGTTGTTTTTCTAATCTGTATTATTTTGGTAATATACAATTAGGGTAAAAAAAGTTTCAATGTTGTTGTTTTTTCTCCCCATAATAATATATTTGACTTGATATATTAATGTTAGAATAAGTATATTTTATTTATATTGTTAGTACAAGTAAGGACTTTCTGGCACAAGTAAAATGCTGTATTTGCTTTCAGCAGGTGCATTTTTTTTAAAATAATTTTGAACTCTGTCAAGATTTAATGCTACCTTGTTAGGTAGATGTATTACATGTTATATTTTTTTATCTGCTCATTTGTTAATACGGGCTTCAAATCATACATTTAAACCAATTAGTGTATGGAAAATAAGTAAATGTAATCATATTATTTAGCAAGAACAGGGCTTCACAAACATTTTAGCTTGAATCTCCCAAAAATCTTATAGAAAATCTAGTTAAGAATCCAGATTTTATAAAAAATTTAAATAATAACAACTCTTAGCTAAGTACTTTATTTTGTTCTTTTACATAAATATCGTTGTCTAGTCATATATATTTGAATAAACAGAATTATTGCTGAAAATAGTGCTTTGTTTAGTGTCAGAGAAGTTTTAAAGAGAATATTTCTATATTTTGTATGCCCCGTCCCCATGAGACTGCCTGATGGAGTCCAGTTTGGGAATCACTGCTATATTAGGTTTTGACTAAGAACTCACCTTCAAGGTTGCTGATCCATGGCACTATGCATTTAAGTCATAGAATATGACTTAAGCTTATGAGTCCAGTATAATTTTATTTGACCAACATACAAGTAATATATACATTTGCATCTTATATATCTTCACTTTGAATTAAGTCACCAGAAGAAGAACAACAAAACTAATACCTGGAGATTAATGTGAAATCTTTGTATAGTTAGTAGTTAGATGTTAATATAGATTAAAAAATTGAAGCAGTAGAATGAGTGTTTGGAGTTAGCTGGATAGTGTTCCAAGTACAGTCTAGAGTTGCTCTGGGTGATTAATGGAATGTTTTAATTGATTCATTGCTTGGTGAATTAATCAATTATATTCAAGTAAAAGTCTCACATGAGACTGGGATAGTTGGAATAATTGGACAGATTAATTTTGATTAGTTGGTTATTTTTATGAGTTGCGACACTAATAAATTAAGATGAACAACCTTGAAGTTGTCAAAAATAATAAAAGAGGAATTATAATGGCAGTATTTTGATTACTTGGATGCTTGGAATAATTGTAAACAATTTAATGATTAGTTGAATATTTTATGTGACAGAAATTGATATTATTGATGCTTAGTAATAATTGTATGAATTTTTCAGCTGTTGTTTAGAGCATTTAAAAAAATGTTATATAATGTGATTACTTATGTTATCTGATGATACAGTTTTATCTTTTGAGGTAATTATTTTCTCTATTCACTTTTTGTATGTGTACATTGGGAGTTCTTAGTAATGCACTATACTTTATGTGTTGTTCTTCTCCACCTGTAGGTTCAACAAGAGCTGTTTATGAAAGAAAACTGGCTCGTATCCTTCAAGGTGAAAGTTATTCTGATGATCCATTTGAAAACGAATTTGATGAGAATCAGTGTTCTATAACAGATGAAAGGTAAAGTTCTGCTAATATGTAGAAATTTTGTAAAATTATTTCAGTTCTTTATTAATTATTTTTATATAAAACGTTTGTCCAGTTAATGAGAAGCTATATAATTTTACTGCATGAGTTTCTCCACATTTTGGAAACACTAAAGAAACGGGCTTGAAGCTGAGGAAAATATATTAATTTGAGCAAGTACTCATTGATACTTTATTATGATCTCATCCTTACTTTTTGGGGCGGGGAGGGGGTGTGTCTCTGATAATTACATAGATTAGTATATCTGTGCTCCCCTCATGTTTCATAGAGGGCCCCAATTCTATAGCTGCCCTAAGAGTACATTTGGCCCCATTAGCTTTTAAGCTGTGAGAGGAGTTCACAGACAAACAAATTCTTGCAAAGCATGAATTATAGGAGAGTGATCTAGTGATGAAGAATGCCAGTATTAAAAAGATTCTTCAATTGTTCATTTATCTCAGTCAATTTTCACCCAGTTATTTAAGCAAATAAAATTTGTCTCTGTTAAGTTAATTGTAAACAATTTGGATATACTGAGAAGGTTTGCATTTTGTGCAAAGCTACGCAAGGGTTATCTGCACTAGCCATCCTTAATTCAGCAGTGTAAGACCAGAGGGAAGGCAGCTAGTCATCACCAACTCTCGGGTTACTTTTTTACAAATGAATAGTAGGATTGATTGACAAATTATATTGCCCCCACCCACAGCTGAAAGGGCGAGCATGTTTGGTGAGACGGGGATTCGAACCCACGATCCACAGATTGTGAGTCAAGCACCCTAAACACCTGGCAATGCAAGGCTATGTTGAGAAGAAAGAAAAAAAGTTTCTCAGTATGAAAGTTAACGTTTGACAATGTTTTATGCAATTCTTGTTTACATGAATAGTGTATTCTAAATGAGCTACATTTAATCTCTTCATATCTTAATAATGGACTTAGAATAGTATATTAATAATGAGTTTTTAATAGAAACATTTGTGTCAAGTCTGTAGTTTAGTGGTGTGAAATAAAATGTAACTTTAAGAAATGATGAATTCAGTTGTATTTACTTGTAAATTAATTTATCCTGTGAATTCATACGTTTGAAAAATTAATCAAATTTCATGCTCTGATTTTTCATAAATTATGGGATTTAAAGTGTAATATTTTTGACTGTGTTGAATAGAACAAGTACCCTGTCAATATAAATAGTATTACAGCAGAATAATTTTGATTTGATTATCATTTAAGTCCTGGAATGAGAATAAGTATAATAGATATTCTTGCTGAATCCATATTAGACCTGACTTTTGTTTATGTGATCATAAAGAGTGTAACTATTACTTGACTTAAAACAAAGCTTTAAACTTTTCACTTCAGTGACATGCTTAGTTATTGTTAAACCAGGTAATTGTATTATAATTCTAAGTAAGAAATAATACATTCAGAAAGCACAAACTGGCTTTGCTGACCAGACTGGCTGTGAGACTCCATAAGGTTATCCACGCTTTTGGGGATTGTGTTGACAATGTTTATGACTTAACGATAATTGTTAATTTGTTGAGGTCTACTGAGTTTTATCAATAGTAGCTAACTTTATTGGAGAAAGTGAGAAACTTATTTAGAGTTTTTATAAAGTATTCTTAACAATGTCTAAGGGTGGTTGTTCCTATTGTAAAATGTAATAGTATAAAAATAATAATTATACTTATATATAAAAACATATTTATTTTTTTAGATTTAACATGCACTGAACATTAAACCTCACATGGTTTAATAGGATAACGATTTGTATTTTGCTTCAAAACTACAAAATTCCAGCTGTAAATATAATATTTTTTTAACATTATATTTATATAGCGTGAATGCCTCTTTGTTTTATCCTGGTGAAGTATGATTGTAATAAAATATGTTTGTCCTAAGTCATCTGATGAAACAATGTATTCTAATCTTTTCAAGTAATATAGTTTGAATAATATATTTAAACAGCTATGTTCATTACTAGGTATATATGTTTTGGTATGAATTCATCGTAGACATAAAGTTTAGTATCTGTTTCATACAGTTGATTCAAGATGATGTGATAGGACAGTTTATAGTGGTAGAAGCTCTGATATGATCATAATTCTACTTACTTGTTTTATTTTATTAAAATATTTCATTTAATGATCATTTAAATATCAGCCTAATATTTAAAATAACAATTGATAAGCTTAGGCTTGTCAAAAAACAAAAAATCATGGTAAAATATAGAACCAAGTAGACAGAAAACTTGTCAAAAAACAAATAAGTAAATTACTTTTGGCCCTAAAGAGAATCCACAAATAATATACAACAAAGCTATCAAATCAGCTTTCAATTTGATATGTTAAACACTGTGACCTGTAAAAATTTGTCAGCAAAAGTTTTTTACATACATAGAAACTCGAATTAACACCTACATATTAACTTACTGTGGTAGTGTTATTTTTCACAAAGAAATTTTGGAAATGCTTGATTTTGTGAACAAATAATAGAGATGGTGCGGTTGTCCGATTTTTGACTGTTCTAGATTTGTAATCAAATCTGGGACCTCTTGCACACTAGGCAAGTTCTCTACAAACCGAGCTAAAGAACTAACTAACTAGCATGCACGTTTAAATAATTCAATCTACTGTGTTTTTTTCCTTTTCATGTACAAAGTCCATCTTATCTCATGGTTGAAAGAGAAATCCAATTTTTGAATTTCCTGAACTCATGATCAGTCACAGTTTCTACTAACTGAGTTAAAAGGCTAACCCAGTAGCAATTACTAGTGAAGCACTTTTTAACAATTCAAATACTGTACTGTTTTCATTTGTTTTTTCAATAGCTAATGTTTTCTTTTGATAAATTATTTATGTTGATTTTAGAAGAACAGATGAACATGTTGATTTTTACCTTCATATTAGTTTGTGCAGGTATTCCTGTGTTACCCAGCAGGCAATGCTAGGAGGAAGGGTTAATAGTACTATGTTTTGATTTGTCACAAATTAGCTTATTTCTATTTTTTCATTAATTAACCCTATAATTATTGATGGGGGTCCACGTAGGCTCCATCAGCTCTTTCTTTAACAAGATTTTTTCTAAACTATTTATGCAACAAATTGCTTGAGAGTACATGACTCTCTTTATTAGAGAGTTCCTAATAATATACGAGTCACACAAAAATGTGAAGTCTTTTCTTCTTTACTAACTTTTTCTGGCATTTTGTTCCTGTTTGTGTATGTTTCAGTTCTTTGCTTGTGTGAGGTTTTCCCATTTATTTGAAAGACTTGTTACTCATTTCTACTAGTCTTGTGCATTACTTTCCAGTAATTTCTCCTTTTGTTTTTTTATCTAGGATTTCACAGCTTTCACTATACACCTAATACTTGTTGTAAGTTCACGCAGGTAGCCATATAAATTATTGTATAATAAATAGTTTTTCTTCTTTCTGAAACTTAACCTTATATTTTTGAAACTTTGAAATTTATTAGTTTATGTTTAATATCCATTAATATCAAATAACCTCCAAGAATTTTATGATTTATAATAATTTGAAACTGTTAATGGTAAAAATTACTTTTGCTAAGTAACTTCTTCTGAATTATATGGTCAAATAAGTAATGCAAAGTCTATTTCATTTAATGGTGCTTGTTGAAACACAAACTCTAAACTTAATTAATAGACAAACTGATTAATGCAACTGCTAACTCAGTAACAAATCAGAAGATAACTCTAGCCTAACTGTTATTTTATATCACCTAAATCATTGATCTATGCACACATCATGTGACATGGACAACACTCCCTAGAAAAACAATAATACAGATGTCTGAATTCAAAAACATATAACAGTACATGAATAGGGAAAGTATTCTTACTTGATACTATCCAGTAGTAAATGACAAGAAACAATAATTGTTCTGATGACTATACAGTTGACCTCTATCAGGAAGAATAACATTGTTCTTTACTACAGACAGTTTAAAACAATAAACTATAAAACATACTAGTTTGGCTCCACCCAGTGACATATATTTATTAAATACATATAATTTAAAGACAACAAGTTACCAGTTGGTCCATCTAAGCTCTCCCATCCACTATATTAAGTTAAAATAAAAGTAAAATGCTCAAAGCCAGCCTTTTTTATTCAAACATTTATCATTAAACTCCATTAACTTAAATATGTACCACATCTAAAGGCAGCTCATTCCAAAGGCCAGATACCCTATTAAAAAATTAAAACTGCCTTAGCTGAAGATGGCTCCTACCCTGCCAAAATTTATATTTGTATCTCCTAGTCTTACCATTCTCACCATTAATTACAAAAATATATTGTATCAACACTATCTGTTCCATTAACAATCTTAAACACTTCAATAAGATCCCCTCTAACTCTTCTTTTTTCAAAAGAACACAATTTCAGAGATCTTAACTTATCCTTGTATGTCAAACTTTCCATCCCAGGGGTCATCTTAGTAGCCCCCTCTGAGCCCTTTCCAACAACATAATGTCCTTTATAAGGTAAGGAGTCCAAGATTAAATACAGTACTCCAAATATGGTTTAACTAGTAACCTGTACAATGATATTATGACCTCTTTAGATTTGTATTCAATATTTCTGTAGGTAGATACAACCTAAAATTCTATTTTCTACACCTACATTGCTTGAATTGCTCAAGAGATTGACCAATCAGAACACCAAATATTGTTTTCTTTGATAACACTGTTAAGGTTATTCTCATCAAAATAATAATTTATACTCATAATTCAAGTTCTGTTAACCCACACACATTACTTTGCATTTATTATAATTAAAAGCCATATGCCATTTATTTGCCCGACTCACCAAATAATCCGAATCCTTTTATGTAACAGCAGCAGCATCCTCACAGCCATTTCTTCATCTATGTTACTGATGTAAATTAAAAAATAAAGGTCCTAACACTAAGCCCTGAGGTACCCCACAGCAAATGTAAATAACTTATTGAACATTCTTTCATCTATGTCATTGATGTAAATTAAAAAAGAGAAAAGGTCCTACCACTGAGCCCTGAGGTATCCTACTTGTGACATGAATCCAGCATGACTGAACATCATTTATAAAACCCTCTACTTTGTTTCCTCCTACATCTGTGTATACAACAAAAAGTGCACCATGTTAGCATCCTTTCCTATATCACTTACTCTGTCAATTATATCCTCCAACCTTGCCACTAGATGGCATAATCTTATTCTTTTCTCCCTATTTACCCCACATACTATCCTATCCACATGCTGTACTAATGAACCTTCCATAACAATAACCTTATGTTTTTCATTACCTTTTATCCTTCTCTCCCCTACTTCCTTATCTGGACACATTAAAGGCTGAAATCTGTTACTTATTAGAACTTGCTCATTATAATTAAATTCATTGTTAGTACTGTTTTACTGTATCATTGTTAATGTGTTTTAATTATTTCAGACATTCTTTTTCTGAAAGGGGGAGAGGGAAAAGCTCAGTGGAAATAGTTTTAGCTCAAGAAAATTCCTAACAAAAGCTGATCAGTTTTATTGTTGATTTGAAAATCTACTTTGGTGCATCACTTTTAATAATAGACTGTTAATATTTATTTGGTTAAGAATCAAATATTGTTAAAGATAAATGTTAGAGTTATTCATGATAGTTATTTCACATCAGTATTGAAATACTGTATGTGAAGCAGATAATTAAACAACTATACACATTCATTACATAATTGTATTAACCCTTTTTCTGTGACGTTCAGATATATCTGTGAATTTCGGATTTATCCCACAGCTACCAAACAATGTTTCCCTCTACTGCAGTGTTCACGTGTGTCGGCATCAGGATCTAGATGCTTTAAAAAAAATGCTGCAATGAGCAGGAACATCCCTGCATTCTTGAAACAACCAGCTTATTGCACAGTAAAAGGGCTAATTAATTTTTGCTAGTGAATAGTTTCATGACTGCATAGTTTTTAAATATAGTTGTCTAGTCACAGTTAATGTCTACTTGTGTCCAAAACTTGTACAAAGGAAATTTAAAAATGAGCAAACATCTATTGTATAAATACATGTAGACAGTTATATAATATCATCTAGATAATTCCATGCACAATTGAGTAAATTAGCAGCATTTATCTTGTTGAAGTAAGGCAACCAGGAATATTGAGAAGCCATTTTTGTGGTTTAGAAAGTTTTACCTTATTTCTACAAGCAAGTCAAATTCTCTTGGAAGAAACAAGTAGTACTTAATTCAGTTAATTGCCATTCTCGTGAGTTATGGATCATTAAGTGTGTAATATTCTTGTAACCAAGTTGAAACTTTTTTTTTCATAACATAGAGCTTGGACAAGTATAATACAGGTAACACACAGACGACCAGTGTCATCAACCGACAGTCCTCAATCAGTAGATCATCATAGTAGTCCAGTTTATGGCCAGAAAAGGTATGAAGGTTGTTTCTTTTTTGCTTAATATACATTATTTTCAGATAATGTTTGGGGGATGATCTTAAACTTTTTCTTCTGCCCCCAAATACATTTGTAGCAACTTTCTTCATTAGGTTATAACATCATATTAGGTATATATTGTGTTAGCTTAGAAAAAATCAAATTTGCTTTATATATATTAATAAACTGGTGTTTACATGTTGTATAAACTTGAATATTTTTTTCAATTCTCTTTACAAATTACATTAAATCAGTGTTAAAAAATGATGAAATATCAACTATAGAATATTTGTGTGTAAAAGAAATTGTTTCAATTATTATTTGTACTTAAATTTTAAGATTCAGTTTGCACATTTGCACTCATCAGCTCAGGAGAGGGTAATATTCTATAGATCCAAATTGTTTGTAGGTTTCTTAATCTGAATAGTTTAATGTTTATGAACAGCATCAGCCAATGGCAGAAATTGCTGTATTTTTGTGATGGTGAGTCCACAGCAGGTGCTGTCATAACAATGGATAATGATAGTGCACCATCAGTGAAGTAAAGTTCTGTAGATATTGATTTATTCATTACTGTTAGATTTCCATTTTCATAACTTACAAACTGATCTCATATCTGATCTGGTTAACTTCTTCAAATGACATCAGATCCAACATCGAGGCTAGTCCAGTCTTCACCATTAATGGGTGTACTTTGTTCTCGACTGATAATCATGAGCAAGCACAGTTTGTACAATGTGAAAATGTCTTCAGCCTCTGGTTGCCTGCACAATGCCATGACTACTGATTCTTTGGTTCTTAGATGACATATCTGGTTTTAACAGATCCAGTCATGAGTAAAGGTTGCACTTGAAAAACAGCATAGCAGGAGACTCATTAATTGTTGCAGTAGGTGTATTATCATGAACCACTAAAAACTTGACCAACTAAAGATGGCTGGTAGCATTTCATTTTGCTGCATTTGGTGTTTATTTTATTGTTTGGACAAACCATTCAGCTAACCTGTTAAAGACTGAATGAAATGGCATGTAATGAATGTGTCTGACACCATTATTGAACCACAAGCTGTTCAGGTATATCATTGTTTCTAAACAAGCTACATGCTGGCTGTAGTAAATAAAGGTTATTACACATACTACAGATCACTTTGAATGTGGATCAATTACAGTCAACTTAATCAAGTACATGTGTTCCACAAAATCTACACGTGTGTGCTGCATTCGGTTGCTTGGCCACATCCATGAATATAGTGATGCTCAGCCAACCATTTTTTGTAAATGCTAACATAAAGTGCATTATTTGGTCTACTGTTCAGTTTGGAGAAATATTTCTGGCCACGCTATTAGCCAGAACCTTCCTTTTAATAATTCTGAAATATCCCTTATGTAACAGTTCTGTAACATAGCATCAGAATTCAATATCCCTCACATGAATGTGGATGTGATAAATTTATTGATAATCTCAGAAAATAAAGAAGTTGAGAGTTTTTATTCTATATTCTGTCTTTTCGATATTTTTATTTTGTCTGTCTAATTGGTGCACACTATGAAACCCATATAAGGGAAGAAAGAAAACTTAAAATGAAGAATTCAGAATATATAGAAGGTTGAGAATTTATTTAAATATTTTCTTTTGAAATTAAGAAACTAAAACTTAGATAGTAAAAGACTTTGAATTATAACCTACATTTTACTGCCAAGTTTATTACATACATTGATAATAAAATTGTTTAATTAAGTGTTGAATAGAACTCTGTAAAAGGTAATGACATGTACACTTTGACCCATAAGGTTAAAGTCCCTGCAGGTACTATTGGAGTTGTTCAATCACTATATGTCACCCGTGACTAAGCTGTTGTTTCTATCAAATATATCAGTTCTGCATCAATCTTTCATCTGATTGCATATGGCAAAGCGAGTGTTTAATAAATCTACTTTGTACTGTGCAGTTAGTTTACCTGCTTGTTGGTTTTGATTATGAAAACAACTATTCATTATTTTTCAATTGCTTAGGTGAAAGATTCACCTATAATAATGCTACAGTTTCATCATAACACTTATTACTAGTCTTCTCTGATATTTTCAAACTTTGCTATAGGCCATACATTTTCTCCCTCCAGTAGAATTTACAAAATTACTGCTTGCTTTTTCTCCTGGGTCACATTTGCTAATATGAAATATTGAAAGTGTTCACTATATGTTTTCTACTGTTCAATATTATCATTGAATCTCACAATATGTTTGTTGGTCACTCCCATTTCCTTCCTTTTGATTGGTTTGTTTGTAATTAAGCACAAAGCTACACAGTGGGCTATCTGTGCTCCACCCACCACGGGTATTGAAACCCAGCTTCAAGCGTTGTAAGTCTGCAGACATAGGGGGCTTAGATTTTTGTATTAACCTCAATTAATGGATACTTAGTATTAACTTGATATAACCCAAAGCTGTAAAAGCAGCCCAGTCACTTTATAAAAGATCCTTATCACAAATTTGTAATATATATATATATATATAGTGTGTGTGTGTAATTGCAGCTAATCCATGTTTCATCAGACTTGAGGACACACACCATGAAATAGTGAAACTACTACTTATTTATTATTTAAACCTACATGTGCTCACACATTTAGTTTCGCTTAACATTCGAAAACTGTCATCATAACACAAATATTTAACAGTTCCTAGCAGAGTTTTACTCAAGATCACATGACATCTTTACAAGTCAAATGTTCTTAACTTTTTCAACAGAAAACTAATTATTAAATTCATCCCAATCCATTAGGTATTCAGTAACCCTTTTCCTAAACTCCTTGTAAAGTTTTAATCTATGTCACTGTATGTAGCAATTTGTTGCACAGATTTACCACCCTATTGGAGAAATAAAACTGTCTCAACTGGAGATGTCTATAATCTTTTCTAATCTTAAACTTATTACTTTTTATCCGGTGCTCTTACAATTCAACATGAAAAAAAAATGATGATTCAATATTATTAATTCTTTTAAATAGTTTTGAATATTTATTTCAGATCACCCCATCTCTTCTCTTATCGAGACTGGAAAGGTGAAGAGGTCACTTCCATTATTAGTAACCTTTACTCCTAGTAATAAATAAAAAGTTAGTATCTGTTTACAATTAAAAGTGATAGACTGTTAAAATCTTACACAATAAATAAGTATTAAAAACAGAGACTTGCCATAAAAGACTCTACATATGACACTATCTTCATATAGACACTGAAACATATGTAGAGTCTTTTAGGGCAAGTCCCTATTTTTAATAATTATTTATTGTGTAAGCTTTTAACATTGTGTTGCTTTTAATTGTAAATGGATCTTTTTACACAAGTGTCGTTTTAAAATCAGTTAAAAAGTTAGTAATTAATAATTAGACTTAAATGTTAGAGGATTGTATAGACTATCAACCATGACTATTCTATCACCACAACCATATTGTAAGTTAAGATACTCTTTGTATGAAAACCCATCCATCTCTGGAATCATCCTAGTACCCTTTTCAACAATTCTTCAAGGGACCTGAACAGTATAGATGTGTAAACAGATTATAAAGCCAAATTTTGTTAGTCTCTAAGGGTAGTTATTGTGGTATTAACTTCTAAACCCCGTGTATACTGCACTTCCTTCAGCTATTTGGTTCTTTCTTTTCAGGTTGGATGATGATGATGGTTTTGCATCAGGTAACTTAAGAAGTATACAAAATGTTGAACAGCCCTCATCAACAAGATCCCAGCTAGTTTTTTTGTGTTTCTCAATGAAAACAGTCATTATAGCAGCAGTTCTGATCGTAATTGTTCTGTTATATCTGAATGCTTAAAACCTTGTGAGCATCAGCATTCCGGACATTTAACAATTGCGTAATGATTGTCATTTATGCTTAACATATTAATACTTACATACAGTTTATTAAAATATTTTGAAGTTTGATCAAAGTCAGCATGGTTTCAGTTTTGTTATCTTCTAATGTGAAAACATATATATGCAAACATGTAACACATAAAATTGATGCATAAAGGAACAATTGTAAAAATAGATAAACATGTGAAGTAATTAGCTGTTCAGTCTAAAATGATCTTTTATCCATTTTCATCATTCATTTTTTATTTCCCCACATACTATATTTTTGTTGGATTAGCTTGCATTGTTTTGGCTCTGTTTAAAACAGTTTGTGCCTTAACTGAGTAAAATGGTATTTGATACAGCAGATGTATTTATTTGGATTAAATAGCTTGTAATTAAAGAACAAATACAGAAATTTGTGTGAGATTTCATTTGTCTAAACTTTACTAGACTCAGTAATAAATGTAAAAAGAAAATTAATCTTCCATTTGAAAGTTTGTTTCTTTTAAGTTAAGCACAAAGCTGTAAAATCTGTGCTCTGCCCACCACGGGCATCAAAACCCAGTTTATAGCAGTATAAATCTGCAGACACTTTGCTGTGCTATATGGGGGCCTATTTGAAAGAACATATTGTTATATATATGAGTTAGTTTTAGTCACATAACAATAGCTACTTGTTAGAGAAATTAAGGATTACCTAGAGACAAAATAACAGTAATATTTAAGATGATCATAAACCATGCAAGTCTTTTTTTATCTTTTTTTTTCTATTTATATAAAAGTATTAGTAATTTTAATTTGTTTTGACGAGTTCTAATTGATTTGGGCGTCAGTTACATATATTGGGAATTGTTATTTAGTTTGCACTGTTATTGAATCCTAAATAATAACCCTTGTTACGTTGTTGTTGCATTACTCACGGTATGGTAAATTTTGTCCATTGTCCGCAGTTTTAATTAACATACCCTTTTCGTGCCATGTCTAATTCATGGGGTAATATTAACCCGTATGTTTTCACTAGCTTCACTTATGTATGATCGCACTATTAGTTGGTGTTCACAATACAGTTCCACGTAGCAGTCATATACACACACATATAATCCTATTTTTACATACAAAACCCTTTTAGAATATAGCTACGTTTGTGTATAGGATTCAGTTAGCCTAGTACTGTTTGGTCTGTAAGTTTCTTATTTATGATGTTTAGAGGGGAGAGGTACTTAGGGCTTGGTTCATCATGTGTTATGTAATTCTCTAGCTTGCTCATCAGTTCATTTTTATTAATATTTTTCTTATAATATTGAAGCAAGTTTTCCAGGAGTCTGTCTGATAGAGTTGGCATGTTTGAATAGTTGTATAGACATACTGAGTTTGTTGATCGCGGGAATCTATATGCTTTCGTTAAAATATAATTGTCCCGGCATGGCCAGGTGGTTAGGGCCCTCGACTCGCAATCTGAGAGTCGCGGGTTCGAATCCCCATCCTACCGAACATGCTCGCCCCTTCAACTGTGGGAGCGTTATAATATTACGGTCAATCCCACTATTCGTTGGTAAAAGAATAGCCCAAGAGTTGGCCGTGGGTGGTGATGACCAGCTGCCTTCCCTCTAGTCTTACACTACTAAATTAGGGACGGCAAGCGCAGATAGCCCTCGTGTAGTTTTGCGCGAAATTCAAAACAAACAAACAAACTATATTTTTGTATTTGCTGTAGTTTGTTGATGTGTGTTTTCGATACATTTATCCATGTTATACAGGCATATTCTACGAATGGTCTTATATATGTTCTGTAAATCTTTAATATGTTTTCCGGTAAAGCTCCTTGTTTGTTACCAGTCAGGCTCCTAAGGTAACTCGCTCTTTTCCAAATTCTGGTTTTATGTTATTAATGTGTGGTAACCAGTTTAATTTTGAGTCAAATGTAATCCCTAAGAATTTTGCTGATGTTGCTACCTGTTAAAGAGTCCCGTCTAGATATAACTGTGGTATTAATTAGCTTGGTTTGTACGATTTTGTAAATAATATGACTTGTATTTTGTGCGCATTTATTTTAATTCTCCGCTTATTGCAGTGCAATTCTATCTCTCTCTCTCTCTCCGTGTCGGGATTTAGGTCTTTGTGACCTAGGAGGGTCAGGTTCGCAGGAACCTAATAATTTTGTTTCGTTTCGTTTGTTTTGAATTTCGCGCAAAGCTACACGAGGGCTACCTGTGCTAGATGTCCTTAATTTAGCAGTGATAGACTAGAGTGAAGGCATCTAGTCAACACCATCCAAGCAACCCATGGATTGGTAGAAAACATTAATAAATTATTATTAGACATGATATCACAGTACTGTGACAGGGATCAGAAAACTTGAGACATATAAATCTCATTATTACTACTTGCTTATAGAAGCGCAGATAACGAGTCAACACAGAAAAGTCCATTTATTCTGTTAATTGTACGAAATGTAATGCTACCCCTGCAGGAAATGTTAGCACCTAAGGCTGATAATTAAACTTTACGTGACGCTTATAATGCTTGAGCGAATGCAACTGGCACT